CCGCATGGCTCACGCAGGAATGAATGAATGGCTGGGCGCTGCCTCTTGATCTATACTTCAGAAACTCGTTGGTCTGCCCTTTGCCATCGGCCCTTGGTGCTCACAGTCCCCCTGTGGTACTTGCTGTACCGGACTGGGACTGACTGGACCTTCCGCTGACCGACTGTGGACTCACCGCCATCCTACCGACGTTGTACTGCTGTTGCACTGCGGTTTAGTCCACCACTTGCCTCACCACTTGACCACTTGCCCACTTGCCTATCTTCTAGAAGGTCTACAGCTAAGCTTCCAGAACTCACTAAGACTCCTACGCTATAGACCTACAGATCGAACCCCTGCTGTCTATGGACCTACGACAGGTCTACCAACTGCCTACGAATACACAGGTCACAGTTTCAATTCTCGGGGTCTACACAGATACTGTACATGGGTAGGGTGAGGKCTAGGGATCGAACCCTGGGTACTGCATCCGCTACTGCTGTGAAAACCGTTTCACTCCCGCCGTCCTAAGTTCGAGGTCCTCCGAGAAAATTTTAGTCCAAGGCGGGACCTTTACCTTTCTTGTCACGCTCATAGGCTCTGACTATGTCGGGAGCAGTCTCTAGAAGTTCTGCTTTCGTGAACCAGCGGTCGTCTTCCGGTTCCTGATAGGCAAACCGGACTTTACCTCCTGTCCTAAACACATCCTCTTCTACGATGCCCTCTATGTCATAGCTCCCATCCATATCCGGTGGGATCATGGATCTCCTGGAAGGGAACTGTTGACTAGTGACACACGGCAGCAACTTTGAAGCATGGAACACAGGGTATGTGTGGAGGTGTGCTGGAATCTCAACGCTGTAGGACGGTCCATCCTCTCCGCCCTTGACTTCTAGAACCGGCCACGGTCCTCTATATGCAGGCAGTAATTTCTGCGAGATGTTTTCTTCCGGTGCAAACTCTTTTGCCTTGACCCAGACTAAGTCGCCTACTTGAAACTGTGATAAGCGACGGTGCTTGTTAGCCTGCTCTATCATTCTGTGCTGGGCCTTCCGAAGGTTCTCAACAACAGTGGCTAATTCCTTTTCGTGCTGTATCGCAAACTCCCTGGTACCAGGTGGTAATCTGTGAATCTGATCCCGGTTCAGTCCTTCGAACGGTCTGCGCGGTCTAAAAGACTTGTGCAACTCATTGGGGGTGCGGCAGGTGGATAGATGCACGCTGTTGTTGTATGCACTAGCTACCTTAGGCAACATCTCATCCCAGTTAATCTGATCTGGTCTAATGTGCATGCGCAGAACTTGCTGTAGGATCTTGTTCATCTGTTCTGTCTGACCGTTAGTTTCTGGGTGACGGCCGGACGACATTAACAACTTAGATCCGTAGACTCTCATGAGTTCTTGCCAGTTCTGGCTGGTGAAACGACTATCTCTATCACTAACTATTGACAATGGGATTCCATTCTCACTAACCCAAAAGTCAAAGAACTTTTGTATTACTAAATCTGTACGTGCCTCTGCAGGCAAGGGAACAAAAACTGCATACTTACTAAAACGGTCGACTATGACCATGACTTGGCTCTTACCATGTCTGCTCTTGATTTGCGTGTCCATGAAGTCTATGGATACTGAGTCTCCCGGCTGATCCGGAATAGGCAAGGGTCTGAGAAGACCTAGGGGCGCACGTGTAGTAGATTCATTCCTCTGGCACACTTTACAACAGCGGACATACTCTATGCAGTCGTTCTTCATCCCTGGCCATGTGTACGCACGCATCAGATTGGCTAACGTCTTTTGCCAACC